CAAGCCTTGTTCCAAGGAGTTGCCACCTGGGTCAGGTTGCCTCGCAGCAGATGGCCTAAGGAGTGGAAAGGGATGAAAGATCCCATCGTTCCCCTCAAATTGGCTATGGACACCCCGATTCAGGGGGGATTTGGGAACGTCACTGCGAGACGGAATTGAAGAAAGTTGTGTTCGAAGCTGTAATTACTGACATTTGGAAGAGTGTATTCTACCATCCCAAGAAGAAGCTTCTGCTTGTGGTCTACGTGGACGATTTCAAGCTTGCCGGTCCTAAGTCTACCATAAAGGAGCGTTGGGACTTGATTTCAAGCGTGATCGACATGGACCTTCCGGAGGTTATTGGAAGATACTTTGGTTGTATGCACAAAGAGGAACACAACCTGATGCTTCCCAAAGACGCACACCCATTTCGTCATGTATTCGAACCTGAACCTCTCAACGCGACCCCAGCTAGAACGGAGGATTATTGGGACATCGACCCCGAGAATCTACTAGCTATCCGACATCACCACTACCCTCGAAAGCGCTTGTATGTGCCGAACGAAGATGATGCACGGGTTTTCCCAGGGATTGGCCCCCGAAGATACACCGTAGTGGCTAAAGCCACTCGCAAGAGTGAGTCGGAAGAGGTCGTGATCGATGATTGCAACCAAGCTCGCGACCGCTGCCTTAAGGACTGGTGGAGCGGCGAGACCTACTTTGACCTAGCAGGCCGGGGACAGTCTGATTTCGAGCTGGCAGCCGCAGCTACCCGCAAGGGTAAGTCAATTCGAAACAAGTCCGAAGCCAAGAAATAGGCCAAGCACAGTAAGTTCATTACCCCCTCGCAAGACCAGAAGGAGAAGCCAGGTGCAATGACGAAACCCGTCACCCGCATCACGTATGACGTGAGGGACTTTCTGGATTCGTGCGTCGAGAGATACTGTGAACTTGCCAAGGTCGATCGCAAGTCCCTGAAGCCCGCAGCGACCCCCTTTCATGAACTTCGGGTGGCTCTACCCATAGCATCGGAAGGGGAGAAGACGGGGAGGTTGCAATCCATCGCTAGCAAGGTGTTAATGGAGATTTTGTTCGCGGCCCGCATGGCCAGGTGGGACCTTTTGAGGGCGACTCAGTCGTTGGCGTCTAGGGTTACAAAATGGAGCCCAGACTGTGACCTGGGTCTACACCGACTAGTGTCCTACATCAACTCATCGCTTGACGTCACAATGAGCGGTTTCATTGGCGACAGCGTCATGGACTGCCGATTGTGGTTGTTTAGCGACTCTGATTTTGCGGGCGAGTTCGATTCGAAGTCAACTACGGGGTGTGCAATGTTTCTGGTTGGACCAAACACGTACTACCCCCTCAACGCCTTCAGCAAAAAGCAGACATCAATCACCATGAGTTCAACTGAGTCAGAAGTCGTAGCTGCTAATCATGGCTTGCACGCCGAAGGCCTACCTTGCCTCAGTCTTTGGTATTTCCTATGGCGTGGAGATGCCGGCCGCAAGGCCGAGCCAAGGG